ACCTAGCAATGGAGATGTTTTTTTCTTTCTTTTTTTTTAAGATTTATTTATTTATTATGTGTACAGTATTCTCAGTATTCTGTCTGCATGTATGCCTGCAGGCCAGAAGAAGGCACCAGATCTCATTACAGATGGTTGTGAGCCACCATGTGGTTGCTGGGAATTGAACTCAGGACCTTTGGAAGAGCAGCCAGTGCTCTTAACTGCTGAGCCATCTCTCCAGTCCCAGAGATGTTTCTTAATGTCCTTGTTGTGCAGTCTCTCTTTGTGTGACTGCCTATACCCTTTTGTCCAATCAACTTTACTTGTAAATGTTCATAACAATGAGTCATTGGTCTGGCTCAAGGCCTCTGGTTTCTGGTCCACCATCATTGCTGGATTTGCACCGAACCTCCTCTTGGATATCCCTCAGCCGCCCTGAGACATGGAAATCCTACAGGCATTGGTCCACAGGACTAGTCACTTCACAAGCTCTAGCAGCTCCTAGATGGGGTAGATGTTAGGGTGGGCCAACCCCAGACCTGGCTGTGGGCCTGAGTGGTAGTTGAGTTGGTCAGTTGAGTTGGGCCACTGAGACCACCCACCTCAAGCGATAGGCAGAGCCAGTTCCCCTAAGCCACTGGGGTCCGTTCTCCCTCACCCATGGTGAAGAGTGGGGCCATCTCTCCCAAGTGCGGAATGGAGACAGCTCTCCCATGAGGGTGGGCGCCCCTCTCTTGCTGCAGTGTCCAGCAAGGGCCAAGGCCAATATCTTTAACTGATGTCAAAATAAAACCATCAGGTGAAAAGTCAAAGGAGAGGGTGTTAACCCCTCAGACTTCTTGCTGCACAGAAAAAAAATAAATGGCACCTTTCCAGGCCAGACACTGTTAATCCCAGCATTTGGAGAATGTCTGAGTCAGGATTGCTACACACTTGAGGCCAGCCTGTATTACATAGTTAGTTCCAAGCCAGGCTGAGCTAGATGAGAGCCTGCCCCACCCCCCACAGCTCCCTATCTCTCCTTCTCTTGCTCTCACACACGGTTTCCAGTGAGTGATAGGCCAGACACCACTTGAACCCGACATTGAATTTGGCCTTAGTGCTGAGTCAGCTTTGGTTTTGCGCTGCACAGAGCAGCACCTCTGAAAGTTTCCTAATGATGAGCTTGAAGTTGATTGAGCACAGTGGCCTGTGCCCATAGCCCAGCACTGGAGGATCCGACTGAGTTACACAGTGAGAGTGTCTCAAAAAATAAATAAATGCAAGCCAGACATTAGTGGCACACATTTAATCCCAGCACTCAGGAAGAAGAGGCAAGAGGCTCTCTGTTTAGGCCAGCAAGCTCCAGGACAGCTAAGACTACATAGAGAAACCCTGTCTTGAAAACAAAAAATAAATAATTTAAAAAAATGAATAATGAACTTGAATTCAATTAAACTTCTAGGCCTAACTTCCATTTACTTTCCAGAAAATAAACTGGTAGAACAAGTAAAGAATACAAACAAAATGATTAGGCAATCCAGAATTAGGGCTATTAGACAAAGCCTGAACTTTTTTTCTTAAGGTATTTTTTTTAAATATTTATTCATTTATTATGCATTCAATATCTGCCTACACGTGCCTGCAGGCCAGAGAGGGCACCAGATCTCATTACAGATGGTGTGAGCCACCATATGGTTGCTGGGAATTGAACTCAAGACTTTTGGAAGAGCAGGCAATGCTCTTAACCACTGAGCCATCTCTCCAGCCCCCTTAAGGTATTTTTTTATATATTTTAAGAATTTTGGGTCAGGCGGTGGTGGCACACGCCTTTAATCCCAGCACTCAAGAGGCAGAGACAGGCAGATCTCTGTGAGTTCGAGGCTAGCCTGGTCTACAAGAGCTAGTTCCAGGACAGGCTCTAACAGAACAGAAACCTGTCTCGGGGGGAAAAAAAAAAATTCATACATGTATGTAATCTACTCCCCATTTCCTTCCTTCCAACTCCTTCATGAATTCTCCTTAACACCCCATCCAATTTCATGTCCTATGTATGTATGTATGTATGTATTTGGTTTTTCATGACAGGTTTTCTTTGTGTAGCCCTGACTGTCCTGGAACTCCCTCTGTAGACCAGGCTGGCCTCTGCCTCCCAAGTACTGTGATTAAAGGTGTGTGCCACTACCATTCAGTAGTATTACTAGTACTACTAATAGTATTACTAACTAGTAATACTAACTAACTAGTATTGCTTGTATGTGTATGAATCAGGAGTATCCACTGGAGAATGGACAAAACAGACATTGTCACTTAGAAAGTGGAAAGACACAAAAGCAGAAGAGACAGGAGTATCTCTGTGAGTTAGAAGCCAGCCTGGTACAGAGCCTACCAGAATCATCGTGAGACTAAGAGCAAGTGCTGCAACAGGAACATCATCTCTCCAGCCACCTAAAGTTGCTTTCAGTGGGAAACAAAAGGTATTCCCGCTGGAGGCATAGTTCAGTGGTAGGACATTCACCTTGGATGTGTGAGGCTCTGATTTGTTCGTAACAAAGTCTCATTTAGCTTAGGCTGATCTGAAACTCCAGAATGAAGCTAGCCTTCAATTTCTGACCCCTTCTGTCTCTACTTCCTTAAGTGCTAAAAAATAGGCCTGGACTGACATGGCTGGCTGGAGGCTCTGGGTTTCAATCCTCAGCATGCTTTTGGTTTTATTTAGACTGTATCATGTATGAAGCCAAGCGTTCCTGACTGCTACAGGTAAAGTTAAGAAACGTGTTTTTTTTGTTTGTTTTAGACAGGGTTTCTGTTGCCCAGGCTGACTTAAAACTTGTTCCATAGACCAGGCTGTCTGCCTCTGCCTCCCAAGTGCTGGGGTTAAAGTTATGTGCCACCATACTAGGCTAGCATTGCCTTCAAATCTACTTTAAAAACTAAAACTATTCCTGCATATATGTATATGCACCATATATACTTCGTGCCTGTGGAGGTCAAAGTGGGTACTGGATCCCCTGGAACTGGAGTTACAGATGGTTGTAAACCACCATGTAGGTGGTTAGGACTTGAATCCAGGTCTTCTACAAAAGTGTGTGTGTGCTCTTAACCCTGAGTTACCCCTTCAGTCTGTTTGCATCCTTTTTAAAATAATGGAGCTGAGCCAGGCAGAGGTGAGAGGCAAAGGCAGGCGGATCTCTGAGTTTGAGGTCTACAAGCTACTTCCAGGACAGGCTCCAAAGCTACAGAGAAACCCTGTCTCAGCAAATAAAGAACTGGAAAGACAGTTCAGTGGTTAAGAGTGTATACTACCTCAAAATAACCTAAATAAAAATGTATTCTTGCAGAGGATCTAATGCTGGTTGGTTTCTAACACATCAGGTAGCTCACAACTCCAGCTCTCAACCCAACACCCTCTTCTGGCCTCCTGGGGCACCTGCATTCACAGGTGCATGTACACTCAAAAACTCATTAAGAATCTGAACTATGAGCTATAAATTTTGGATTGCTTTCTGTGCTGTGAACACCATGACAAAAAGAAACTTGAAGAGCAAAGGGCCTATTTCACCTTATGCTCTACAGTAGTCCATCATGGAGGCACACTTACTGGTTTGCTCCCCTGGCTTGCACACCTGCCTAGGGATTGGCACCATGCACTGTGCTGAGCCCTCCATGAGTATGCCCAACTGATGTGTCACAGGCCAATCTGACAAAGGAGCAATTCCTCTATTGAAAAGTCCCTTCCCAGGTCTCTTTTTAGACTAGTGTCAAGCTGACAAACCTATGACATTTGATTCTAGTAACGTGATTCTGTTGTTAAAAAGGGCGTGTTTAACATACTCCAATTCCAATTAATTATAAATTACATATAAACAAAGATAACTTTAAAAATGTAAATATGAAATATTGGGGCTCGTGTTAAGTCAGTGCATAAAATAAAAAAGTGCTTGCCACAAAGCCTGAGGACCTGAGGTCAAGTGCTGAGAAACAGTGGAAGAACCAAACCCTGAAAGTTGTCCTAAAAACTACACAAAATGAACACAAGCTGGAAAGCACTTAGGAACTGGATAGCTCAGCAGGACTAGAGTTCAATTCTCAATACATATATCAGTCGGCTCACAGCTCAAAGTCTGAAGCCTCCAGACCATAAAACACACGCACACCATGTAACCAAGAATAACTTATGAACTTGAGTGTTTTACCTATATGTATGCATGTTTGAGCACCAGGTTATCCTGAAACCAGAAAAGGCTTCATTGGTCACATGGGTTGCAAGATTAGCTCAGGTTAGTCAGGCTTGTACTCCTACTTTTGATCCTTTTGTCACCTCTGGGAGAAACAAATCTGGGAGGTTCAAAGATGGCTTAGTTGGTAAAGGTTAGGACTCACAGATCCCAATCTCACACTCACAGCAGCCCCCACAAAACCATAAATCTACAAATCTACATGTTTAAATACACTAAGTGAGATATTCAGTGACAAGCAGTTAAGACCTCTTGAGTTAGGGAAGACAAAATGGAGTACTGCTATCTTCAGTCAAAGTAACCTAACCAGCTGCTTAGAGACCTGTACCAACACCTCAACACAAACAATAACAGTTCTTACTTAGTTTTTATTCATAATCATAAACTTAACTCTG